CCCGCCCCGCGCCGCCCGCCCCGCCCCGCCCCGCGCAGCCCGGACCCGCCGCTTCCGCCGCCGCGGCGGAAGTCCCGCAGCGGGACGGCCTGGAACCCTTCACCCGTTAGCGACCACCGGGACCCTCCGCGGCGCGGCCCAGCCCGAGGGGCTCCCGATCGCCCGCCTCAGCGCGGGGCTCGGGGGGTTTGATTAAACAAAACGCTCACCTTGAGCTCCCCGGGGGTTCCCCGCCCGGCTGTGCGGAACCACGAAGCGGGGCCGCGGTAGCGGGGTGTCCGGAGCGCGTCCCGTATCCCATCCCGGCGCGTCCCGTCCCGGGCGGTGCCGCCGCAAAGGCGCGGACCGGGCGGCGCGGCGCGGCCGGGCCGCGATCCGCGCTCTGATTGGCTGCGGCGGGACCGCGCCGCGCTCTGATTGGCTGCGGCGGGGCCGCGCCGCGTTCTGATTGGCCCCGCGCGGAGCCGGGGGCGGTTTGAGCGGCAGCGCCCGGCGCGGCGGCGGCTCCCGGGTCCGGCACGATGGTGAGCGGCGGCACCGGGAACGGGGAACCGGGAAACGGGGGAACGGGGGAACCGGGGCTCGGGAGGAGGCTGGAGCCGTGGGGACGGCCTGGATGGTCTCCCCCCCGCCAGGGATGGCGCGCCCGGTGACCCGCTCGGTGCTCCGCTCGGTGCCCGGCCGGTGTCCCGTTGTCGGTCGGTGCCTGAGGCCTCTCTCCTCTCTTCCCCTCGCAGCTGCCCCTGTCCTTGCTGAAGACGGCGCAGAACCACCCCATGGTGAGTACCGACCCCGCGGCCCAGCCCCGCTCCCCTCACCGGTGGCGTGCGGGTGACACCGGGCACATCCCGGTACCGGCGCCCCAGTGACCGCCGTTCTCTCGCAGCTGGTGGAGCTGAAGAACGGGGAGACCTACAACGGGCACCTGGTGAGCTGCGACAACTGGATGAACATCAACCTGCGGGAGGTSATCTGCACATCCCGGGTAAGGCCAGAGCGCCGGGCAGGGTCACCCGCCCGTTGTGCCCGCAGGTCCGGGCACTGTCCCCAAGGGTTCCCCGCTGCTCCAAAATGCAGATTTAATGTCATTATTGATGATTTCCATAAAGAAGGAGCAGCCTTTTGTGTGTGCAGGTGATTTTCTGCACATCTGGGGTCATGTGCTGTGATGCTGAACCAGGGTTCCCAAAAAACGGAGCCTTCGCTGTCCTGTGCTGCCCGAGCAGCCTCAAACACCYCAATCCCTTTGATTCCCTGCCTGTTTCTCCCCATCTTCACCCACTCTTGACTTCTCTTCACCCACTGAGGCCATCTGAGACTTCTGCCCTTGGCCAAAGTCGCTCCAGGAGATTGGGATCTGTGTTTTGGGATTKRYCTCRCTCAGCAATGTCCTCATCCCTGTGGGAAGTGCAGACGGGTGGAAATGGGGCTGGGGGTGTCAGAGCTCCACAGGAGAGGCTGGCAAGGTCCTTTTCCTTCCCAAAACCTCTCTGCACCCCCAGCTCCTGCTGTCTCCAGAGTTTGGAGCGATCAGGGCACTTTGGGGTGACAAAGGAGGCACTTTGGGAGGGAATTTTGGGGTGGAACAGAGTGAGATGTTTGGAATTTGTGGCTGCATGGTGGGATGAGAACCTGCTGCTGAATTTAGGAGGAGGAATCGGGAGGTGACAGCAGAGCCCGTGACTCAGGGGATTATTCTCTCCTTGGAAATTTGCTCCCAAAGGCTCAGTGATCTGCCTGGGAAGAGCAGCAGCTCGGCTTTTATTCCTTCTGGGTGATGTGGAGGGATCAGATCAAAGGGAAGATTCGGGTTCACCTGATTGTGGCTTTCCAGTGCCTGAAGGGAACAAAACAGAGAGGGACTTTGGACATGGGATGGAGTGACAGGACACAGGGAATGAGTGACAGGACACAGGGAATGCTGTGACAGGACACAGGGAACGGCTTCCACTGCCAAAGAACAGGGATGAATGGAATTTTGGGGAGGAATTGTTCCCTGGGAGGGTTTGGGATGGGATTCCCAGAAAAGCTGTGGTGTCCACCAGGGAAGGAGGTGTCCAAGGCCGGGCTGGGCCAGTGGGAAGTGTGAAATTTCCCCATTTTTTCCCCCTTCCAACCCAAACCATTCCATCATCCCCCCAATTCCATGACCCGGCTGCCTCCAAACGCCCCCAAAATCCCGGGTGAACCCCGCCGGGTGGGACTGGTGGCACTGGTGGCACTGGCCACTAGATGGCACGGGACAACGAGCCCTTGTTTATCCCRGGCGGGCCGGAACGAGGAAGCGCCGGAGCTCCATCCCTTCCCATCCCTTCCCGCATCCCTGGCCAAGGAGCGGCCGGGCTCATCCCGGGGTGGGGTTCCCGCACGGGAATCGCCGCTCTCAGCCCCGTCCCGGGCCTGCCCGAGCAGGCAGAGCTGCCCCAAATTCCTCCTGGTTTCACCTCCTCTCCCGGGACACCGACTGGAATTATCCCAGCAGCTCCCGGTGCCTCCTCCCGGTCCCATCRCAGCTCCGGAGAAACCCCCGAGCTGAAATCCAGGACCAAATCCCAGAAAATCCCTGAATCTGCCTTAAAACAACACGCAGAGGTGGCTGCTCGAAAACTAGCCATCCCAAGATTGATTTTAATTTTTTTTTAATTTTTTTTTAATTTTTTTTTTTAATTTTTTTTTAAAATAATTTTTGAGCTCCTCATTTCTCTCCTACCCCACAGCCAGCTGGCTCCAGAGCTGCTCCTCCACACCCCAGAGGATGAAGGAAGGGGGTAACTCCCAGCTGGAGCAGAATCCTGGCCACAATTGTGGTTTTTTGTTTTTTTTTTACCAAAATTGCTTGCTCCTCACCATTTTAACTCGTGTTTCTCGTCCCACTTTCGATTCCTTCTCGTGCACGAGGGGTTTGTTTCCTCACCCTCTGCTCCTGACATTTTTTGCCTGTGTTTGAGGCAGTTCTGTACAAATTCAAACTGCATGTTTTGGGGAGAAAAACCCCATTTTTCACAGCTTCTTATAGAAAACAGAGCTCCCAGAAACACTCAAAAAATCCTAAAAATGCCCTAAAAAGCAGCGATTTTCACTCTGAGGCTTCACGTGTTGCTCCCAAACAGGACGGGGATAAATTCTGGAGGATGCCAGAGTGCTACATCCGCGGCAGCACCATCAAATACCTGCGCATCCCCGACGAAATCATCGACATGGTCAAGGAGGAGGTGGTGTCCAAGGGCAGGGGCCGTGGTGGGATGCAGCAGCAGAAGCAGCAGAAAGGCCGTGGGGTTGGAGGAGCTGGACGAGGTAAAAAATCCTAAAATCCTCATTTTTTTGTTGTTTTTTTTTTTAATTTTTTTTTTCCAACTTGGAGAGGGAGGAGTGGGATCCAAATGTTGTGCAAGGAGCGGCTCCTGCTGCTCTGTTTGAAACCCAGGAGGGGTTGGGAGAAGCTGCTGGAGCCTTTGTGGCGTGGGATCCAGTCGAGCCAGTGCTGGAGGCAGCCCCTGCCAAGGAACGGGGAGGATTCGTGCCAGGGATGGGCCTCCCTCCTTCCTGGGGTTGGGCAGGAGCTTCAGAAAGTCTCAACTTGACTGTTTCCACTCCTCTGGCTCGTTTGGGAGCGTGGCTCTCAGAGCTGTACCTTAGCAAAGCCAAGAGGGAAAAAAAAAAAAAAATTCTGAGTGAAAATAGTGAAAATAAACAGGATTCTGCCCGTGGCAGTGAGAGGAAAAACAAAAAAAATCAATCCTTTTTCCCGTTAAAATGGGGTTTTGGATTTCCTGGTTTGTTAATTTTATTTGTGTTTTTATAAATAAAAGGCTGTGTGAGGGTTTGAGTTCCTCCTGGAATGCGAATAATTCGCGTTTCTGATAAAAAGGAGAGGTTCTGATAAAAAGGAGGTGCTGCAGGAGAAATGGGTCACCAAAACAGCCCTGCCCATGTCCCTCCTCCCCCAAACCATCCCACGGGGAGCTCTGGAGCTCTTTCTTCACTCCCCAAACTCCACATCTTTGGGATTTGCCCCTGGAAGCTCCCAGCACGCAGAAATGACCTTTCCAAAGCTGAACCCACCCTTTATTTTTATTTTTTTTCCTCCTTTCTTTCCCTCTGCGCTGTGCAAAGCACTTGGCACTGCTTTTTTTTTTTTGGATGGGGTTATTTGGGATAAACCAGAGCATTATTTGGGTAAATTTGGGGTTATTTGGGATCARTTTGGGTTATTTGGGATCAATTTGGSTTATTTGGGATAAATGCCCTTTCAGGGGTAGCCTGGGCTCGCTGGTGGAATATTTTCAAGGCAAAGTTTGGTGTTTGCTAATTGGCTCTCAAAGGTTTGGAGGAAAAGGGGAAAAAAATGAAAAAGGGAAAGAAAAAAAGAGGGAAGGGGGAAAAAATTAAAAAAAAAGGAAAGAGGAAAAAAGGGGGGAAGAAAAAGAAAAAAGAGGGAAAGGAAAATAAAAAGAAAAAATAAGAAAGAGGGAAAGGAAAAAAATAAAAAGGAGAAAGAAAAAAAAAGATGGAAAGGAAAAAAAATAAAGAAAAATAAAGAACAAAGAAGGAAAGGAAAATAAAAAGAAAAGAAAAAAAGCAGGACAATTTTGTTGGGAGGCCAGCAGGCAGGAGGGAGGCTGTAATTGTGCTCACAGTTGAAAGAATTATTGTTTCTGACGCTGCAAATCCTCCTCCTCCTCTGACTCCTGCCTTGCCAGGCTCACAATTCCCCGGCCTTTGCTCCAGGAGCATCCCCAGCACCGMAGGCTCAGGAATAATTYGGGTTTTGCCTCTGGTTTGGGCAYGGCTGCTCCTCTGGAGAAGMTTTTGTGCTTGGCTTGGGTCTCCTTTGGGTTCTGCTTTGGGTGTGGCCGCATCCCTTTAGCCCTAGGATGGATTTTTGGGGGTAAATCCCAAAAAAAACCCCAAGGGGTGGGCTCGTGACAGGGTCTGAGGGTGTTCATCCCATCAGAGCTTCCCAAATTCCCACTTTCCTGTGCCCTCTGTCCATCTCTGAGAGCCCTCACAGCTCTCAGGGACACATCACACCCCTCATTTTAAATCCATCACCTCCCCAGCTCCATTTTTTTGGGGAGGAAACATCAATTTACCACAAATTTAACATCCAACACGAAATTAAAACACCAGGGAGACATTGCTGAACTTGCTGCTGGGAATGGAAAGGGAGAAGTGGAAAAAATCCCGTTTCTGCTTCAAAAATCAGCAGGTTTTTGGGGTAAAAAATGAMAATATTTTCTGTTCTCTGCTCCCCAGGTGTTTTTGGTGGCCGTGGCCGGGGCATTCCGGGTGGTGGCCGAGGGCAGCAGGAGAAGAAGCCGGGCAGGCAATCGGCCAAGCAGTGAAACAGCAGCACCAGGGCCGGGGACATTTGGGTTTTGTCACCTCAGGGTCACCACCTGTCCAAAAAAAAACATTCCCTTCCCCACCCTTCCATCAGTCAG